GCGCAAGAAAGCTCAGAATATGTTCTGTGAGACACCGCCGAAGTGAACTCGAGAATGCTAAAGGCTTGTGAGCTCGCCGCGACAAGCAAAAACAATTGCATATCGATTTCATTGCGTTCATCTGTTTAAGCGCTTTAATTCTTCCGACGTTCGGCTTTTTAAATTTTAAAGATCCTATTTTTTGTGTAATTTCTTTTATGTGTAAATATATCACTTAAAAATAATAAAAATAATAATACTTTTATTGTTTAATAATATATTTATTTCTCTTTTACAAATTTTCATAGTTTCTCATCGGCCACTTGTCGGCAACAAGCTTATAGCGAACGAGATGAGCATTGAGAGTGAGCAAGACATATATATGAATGCGAGTAAGACAATATAGGAATGAGACAATCATAGAAGCAAGCAAGAGGAAAATAGCAACGTCCAAAGAAGACTCGAAGATCGAGCCTTTGCCGTCCTTTTTCTTACTTGCTCTTATTATTGTCTCGCTCGCTTCTAATAAGACAATAATAAGAGTGAGCGAGACAATCACAGGAGTGAGTGAAAGAGGAATAGCAGCATTCATAAAAGCTCGATCTTGATCCTCGAATCTTCTTTGCACGTTGCTATTCTCCTCTCGCTCACTCTTGTCATTGTCTCGCTCACTCTTATCATTATCTCAGGAGCGAGCGAGACAATAAAAGAGGCAAGCCTCTCACATTTCATTCGTCTCATGATGAATTAGCCTGGATTCGCACCACGGGCAAAGTCTGTTGATAAAATCAAAGGAATTTAGCCTGGACTTGAACCAGGGGCAAAGTTTTTTGGTAAAGTCAACAAAGTTTAGCCCAGACTCAAACCAGGGGCAAAGTTTTTTGGTAAAGTCAACGGAGTTTAGCTCAGACTCAAACCAGGGGCAAAGTGAGTCGGTAAGGGGCAAAGTGTGTTGCACGGAAATGCCGGTCTCGCCTTCATCCGGGCCTTTGGCTATCTGTCTATTAATCTGTGGCACTAGCATAAAGCGAATAATTACGAAATGGCACGCAAGAATAATTTGGGCTGTCAAAACGTCACTTTTCACGCCTCATAATTCATCGATTTGCAACGTGAGGCGCTGCATAAAAATTCTGACATGTGAGTATCATGCTAGTAAGTTACCTTCTCAAAGTCCCCCCCCCCACTTCGACTTTTGGGAATTTTTTTTTATCGATCGGTTGGTGGTTGATTGGTAATGTTTGGTATCGCATTAAAAAAGTTTGGTAGTTTCTCGTTTTGTGACAAAATCGTAAACAAATTTTTTATCTTTTTTTAGCCCCCCCACTTTGACTTTTGGAAATTTTTTTTTTTTTACCAATCGTTCAATGGTTGATTGCTAATGTTTGGTATCGTATCCAAAACGTTTGGTAGTTTCCCGTTTATTTAAAAAAAAATCTTAAACAATTTTTTAACTTTTTCTTAGGCCCTTTCCCCTCCCCCCATTTCGACTGCTGGGAAATTTTTTTCATCATTTGTTTGGTGATTGATTGGTAACGTTTGCTATCGCATTCAAAATGTTTTTTTGAATAGCTAATAATTTTACATATACAGCCATATTTTGCAATTCGGCTTTTAAAAATTTATAATAAGGACCGTTCTGCAATAAGCCGTATGTCGTTAGTCGTAAGCAAATTGATCAATCAAATATTTTTGGAATAATCAACTGTCATTGGTCAATTTGCTAACGACTAAAGCCCGTATCAGACTATGCGTTGAGATTGAAATTTGACTAATTAGGACAAGGAAATTTTAGTTCCTTTTAGTCTGATTGGTTAAATTTCAATCTTTAATACGTAGTCTGATTCGAGCTTAACGACATACGACTTATTGTAGAACGAGCCTTATGGCGCATCGCCAATGCTTATATGTCGTAAAACCCGTATCAGATACGCATTAAAAATTGAAGATTAAAGATTAAAGATTGGAATTTGACTAATCAGAAGGCCGATATTACATTTGTCGTACAACAAACTTTTTAAGCGCATTGATTAGCTAATTTCTAGAGACTCAAGAAAGTTTTTATTTTGCAGCCAATATGCTTAAAAAGTTTGTTGTACAACAAATGTAATATTATCTTTAAGCCCGTATCACACTATGCATTGAAAATTGAGATTGCAGATTTAAGATTGAAATTTAACCAATCAGAACAAAGAAATTTTAGTTCCTTTGATAAGAACGGATTATGAATACCGGCCTAAACCTAAAAAATAATTAATAATTAATAAATAGATAAAGAAATTTATTTATCTATTTATCTATTGCGCAATGAGAGAACGAGTCAATAAAGTTATACAGTTCAATGTTAATATTCAAACGAGTTACATTAATGTCGGTGATTTAAATATGTACACTTACGCAAATACATATATATGTATATATGTTATCTAAATCTGGAATTAAATAAATTAAATTATTAAACAGGATTACTTAAAACTGAATTTATAATAAAGAAAAAAGGGAAGTAATTGAAAATATTAAATAGATTACTTTTATGATACAGAAGTGGTATTAAATATTAAATGAAACAGGGTCATTGTCAAATAATTAACATATAAATTTAGTGACGTCTAAGATCAAAATGAAAAAGTAAAATATTGAAAGTATTATGAAGTTAACTTTATAGAATTAAGACAATTGATAATTTGTAATGAGAATAAGAAAATCGAACTTGAACAGCGACAAAAAAAGAGAGAGTACAATAATAGAGAGTTGCAAATCGATTCTGAAGGTTAGAGAATTACCAGAACCTTAGAATGAGACTAATACCACGATTTACAACTCTGAATGTAATAATCTTTAATGAGAGATCTTTGCTCGTAAACAAAGACAGAGAGAGAGATGCTTCTGATATCCTTCTCACAATATTTCCATGGGCTAGAATAGTAACCAGAGCCTCATGGAAATAGAATGTACTCACGTAACTTGAGAAAAGAGAATAACCAGGGTACTAATCATAAGCCTTTATGTTCGCATCAGAAGAGAGTCGAATGTTATTGATAACGTATCTGTGATTAGGAGCGCATTCCTTGAAATGTAGAGAAATCCTTGATTTATTGCTCGTGGAATGTTAAATCTTATTCATCCTTTTCATAGAGGGAAGAACAATTATAAATATCCAATCTAGAACTGAAACTCAAGATAGTCAGATTAAAATTCACTATATAACTCAACACGTGATGTCAACGTCATGACTCTTTTTAATGATTTTTTTACGTAATGGCTAAAACAAAAGCCAAGTGGGGAAGAAACCGGAAAGGAGAAGAGAGATAAACAAAAAAATACGTAGCACTATCACACCTCTTCACAACGCAAGGAATAAATCGAAAGTCGATAGCAGACGTGTCAAATGAACACTGATGGTGGAAGAATTTCATAAGCAGCTCCTTTCAATATCAGGATCAATACTCACTTTACAATAATTCTATCTATTCTCTTACCTGCATTTCTAAAACATATTTTTGTCAAAAATATTTTTCAAGCACAAGTAGAGAGCAATATAAAAAATATTTAAAACATCTTTATTTATTATATTTTTTCTCTGATTTGCAAAATTTAATTATTCATATACATATATATGTTTGACTAGATCGTAATTTCTACGTTAGTGGAATTTAAATAACCAATGCCATTGTGTGACTTGGAAGAAAATAGATAAATATTCTATATGATATGTGCTTCCAAACTATACAATTGACATTGATTAATCTAATCACAGATTGATCTAGTCACAGAATATCAATATATAACAAAAGGAGGATGTACCTATGAATGAATACAGGATTTGTATAGGAAATATGTTTATGTGTAGGTAGCTTGTTGTTATACTATACTGTGCAAATGTAGCAATGTAATATAGAGTGATGTATATATATTTAGCGTATGAATGCAGTACGAAGCTAAAAAGATACACAAAAGTATTTGAGATATACTTCGAATGTCGTAATTTACCTGCTAACTTGTCACATGGTTGCACGGCGAATCTAGTAAGCAGCAAAAGGGTTAAACGAAAGGTAAAGGTACACATAAAGCAACACTGCCGCGATGATTAAGGCTCACTATTATACATGTTTGTTTCGATCAAAAGCGCCCCAGATAGCTAAGTCTGTCGAAAGCAAATCATGCCAAGTGCCTGCTATCAATTATTGTTAGCAAAAAGGATACAAATTTGGTACAGAAGTTGTTATTTCAGATTAAATCGACAGATTGGTGCCAAAAACAAAGCAGAGTATGCTCACAGAATCTGATAGCAGAAAACGAGCAAGATTTGCTAACATGACTTGACGTCAGATTGGTTGCAAAAACCGAGCAAGATCTGCGCGCGCGCAATCTGATGGCAGATTGATAGCAAAAACCGAGCAGGATCTGCGCGCGTGCAATTTGACGGCAGATTGGTAGCAGAAATCGAGCAGGCTTTGCTAACTTGACTTGACGTCAGATTGTCGGCAGAAACCAAGCAAGATCTGCGCGTGCGCAAACTGACGACAGATTGGTAGCAGAAACCGAGCAGAATCTGCGAATTTTGGCCATTCATATAAAATGGTGCATTTAAATGAATTTAAAGGATCTCAAACCCAAATGGCAAAATGACGGTGAATTTTGGTCACAAAATGATCAATTAGATGTCCTAAGCTGGGTCTCATAAAATCCGAAAATGGCGTAAATAGTATATTATGTATTAATAGTAATCAATGTAATATTTTTATATTTCAATATACAAAGACAATTCATGCGTACAACAAGCTTTTGCAAGCACACACACACACACTCTCTTTTGAATTAAGATAGATTGACAGGAAAGCATTTCATATATGTTTGAAAAATTAAAAATTCAATCTTTGAAATCAGATTGAAATATAAGAAACACATTAATTTCTATTTTTTGCTTATCAGTTTTCAACTTTATTCTCGAAACATTATTTGGTATACTATATTTCTATATTTTTTTATAACGTCCTTCTTTGAAAAAAAAAAGTATCTTTGTTTTGCGTGAAATAAATTCTTGTCAATCTTTTTCAATTCACGTACTTTTTCTACGACAATTGGTCTAACCTGCTTTGCAGATCCAATTGAGGTAACAATTCAGTTCGCGCTCAAGCTGCTGCTGTCTTCGCAACTTCAGAAAGGACTGTCGGTTCTCCACTTTCTCTCTCTCCTTCGCAAACTCTCTACAAGCGTGATACAGATGACATGGGAGCTTACTCGGGAGCACTTTTATAAAGACTAAGTTTAGCAGGGGACTTTCTGGCAATACCACTGAATATTCTAGCAATATCGGCATATTTGATAAGCTAACTGTGTTTAAATAAAATATCATAGAAAATATTTCAGAAACAAATTGTTGCTTTTTGCGATATACTTGTTTCGTAGATTGCTTTAAACTAGCTTGTATTATGGTGTAATATATTATACACAGAATTGTATAATCAATTTATTGTTAACTACTCTCTTAAATACGCTTGGGAATTCTTCCTAATTAAATATTAAAATAATCTAGCGGTGGTTAATTAAATAAACGAGCTGCGATACCAAAAATTTACATTTCTATAAAATACACATTTTTCATCGTATTCTCATCGCGTATTCAGTACTAAGTATGGTTATATAATCTTGAATTTTGTTTTTCACGTGTCAAAGATCACATACAATCACTTTAACTATAAATATAATACATGTATATATCCAATAAGAAAATAATAGAAATTTATAAATTAAGAAACATAGTAAGCTTTTTTGCAATAAAAGAAAATAAATATCATACAATAAGATACTTTCATAAAATATTAATTAAGATTTACTGTAATTAATAATTTTACAATTTTAGAATAAGTATTATGTGTGTGTATGTGTGATGACTGACTCCTTTTATATTTTTCGGTAATAAACTGATGATTGGTTTATATTTTTAATCGTTATGATAGTGCTAAACACGCTAAGAGATACGGCTCATTGCACGCTAATATTAGGCAATGTTTGTTAATTGAAGACCTGCTTGAGTGATCCATTTTAAATAGGAACTGAACGCAGTGGTGAAGAGCTGCTTGCTCTTCGCTTTCCGATAAGCCGCCCGCCGTTCGACACGCGTTCTTTCATTAGAAAATTCTCTGACGAGGAAAAAAATTGATTCTGAAGTAATGCGGAACTTCATTTGCAATTTTCGCGAATTGCAGAAGCACGATCGAATTCACGCTCCCGTGAATCATTTCGGCGTGGGCGGAAAAATTGCGGAAGATTTTTAGGGAGAACGTACTCACCCGCTTAAGACACCAAGAACTAAGTTCAGCATGAAGAATGATCCAAGGACGATCAACGGTATAAAGTAGGCTGTATTTTTTTTACTATTTTTCCCGTGTTCCTCGTCAAAAATGTCTTCAGAAACGACCTTTCAAATAGGGAGCCACAGTTATCGTAATCATCCTGGATAAAGGATTAATTGACAAGGAATTAATTCGAAAGGAATTAATTTGGTACAAAAATGTGATATTCAAATGAAGCATTGACAGTTGATATAGAATTGATGACACTGATAGCAACATTCTATAGGATACATTGATTTAAGAATTTCGATTATCGATCTTTGATGTAACAAGAAAAAGAGAGAAAGAGACACTGCATAGGACAGATCGTGCGCGATAACGAGGGTAAAATTTTAGCAAAGAGACAGAGAAGAGAACAAGAAAGAGAAAAAGAAAAAAAAAGAGATAAAGAGACGATAAATAATAAACAAGAAAAGGACTTTTAACACTGAAGAACACATTTCTTGCTTTACCCAGTACAATATGGCAGTCCAGCCCTCCATAGTGATGCACTGGAAGACAGTGAGCATGGCAAATCCGATATTATCGAAACTGATGATGCCTGCATTTGGTCCCTCCCATCCTTCCCTGCACGCCGAGATATTAGGGTTACACACGTTAGCCCCGGCTGGAGCATCAGCCTTGATGTCCGTGTTGCATGGGCTCGCCTGCTCGCCCTCCTTTACGATTGCTGCAACATTCACAACATATTATAAAATATCTCAAATACATCAACGTCAGGGGAGCACCCAAGAGAAATATCCCAAAAAAGATTTAAAATATATATTTGTGTACACAATATTCTCAAAAAATTTTTCTTTATAATTTTTCATATATTAAATAAAAGAGAAATATTGTATAAAAAAAAAGGCAAATAGAGAGTATAACAAGAATTAGCATTATTCGAAAATTTCTGAGAAGTTGG